TTTTTTTACGCCACTGAAACTGTGGGCTGATGCTCCATCCTGCTGAAAATAGATCATCTGACGAGCCTCCACCCAAGATCATTGAAAAACTCTTCCGACACTCTTGTTGATAAATTAATGTAACGGGGTCCCTTCAAAGAACCATAGTAGAAAAATGGACCGATAATTCTTCCTCTAAATAGACCACACTGAATATTAATACTAAATCTTCTTTGCGGATTGTGGGGATGGATTAGAAATGTATTATGTCTACTCTGATAATGCAAATTTTTTCTATTATACATCCCACATTTTGAAAAATCAGCCTCATCTCTCCATATAATATTTCTATCGAAGTTTAAATTTCGGCTGCAATTATTCATAAACCAACGACAAAACCCCAGTCGTCTCTCAGGGTCACCAGGTTCAAGTGTTTGCACTGGTCTTAACACTGCACTGGTTTTATGTTCCTTCAGTATTCTTTGAATAACAGACCGTGGAACAGCTTCTTCTCTAGATAAATCTCTGATGGAATTATTTGGATTAACCTCAAAGTAGACTTAAACGTCAATTTATGTATCTTCAGAGATAACGAAACGTTTTTTAGTTCTCTTTTTCACATAAACTTTTTCATTGTTCCTAAATCGACAATAAAGTACAGCAAAAAAACGACGATTAGGTAATTCACGATCGGGAAACGAATTGATGTAGTGTTGGAGTGCTCTTACGCTATTTTGCTGGAAAACCACTAGGACTCTAAGTAACATATCACATTCTTCTTGATAGAAAAACGGCATGTCGAAACATATTCGAACAGTAGTTGACAGTTACAATAATTTATGACATTGTCATGGTATACTCATAATGATTCTGTTTTATCGAAGCGAACACATTTTTTTCCTACCGCATTATTATGACTCTCCAGTATTTTCTGTTCTGTACAAGAACGGCTTCAGTGTTATCATTATAGCAGACTAATTTTTATTCACAAAATAAATACGGCTAGTGGAATGACTTTGAAATGGAAATTATCATTTTGTTAATTGATACCAAATAGCTTAGTGGTGTCAAGTGAGTGGTATGATATGACACCCTGTGTATTCAACTTCGAATTGGTTGGCAAACAAATTTCAATCTTCGAGAAAATGGATTTGTGGATATTCACTCATTATTTATCATTCTGTATATTTATTTTGTGTTCATTTGTTTTGTAAACAAGATTTGTCAGTTGAAGATCGAAAATAGTAAAAAACATCAATAAAGTTTCTTCTTGACTAAAATTGGATTTATTGGCTCGAGTTGATCAATTATTCTGAAAGAATAACATTGGTGACACCGACGTGATCACGATATGGAGCAGCGTATATCCAAAAGACTTGGTGCCGGTTTGAATCGAAGCCTATCGATAGATTATGTTTGGCCCGACCAATTTGACAAGGCAACTCGTTCCCAAATTCCAAAAACTTTGAATGGCTGGTTCGAGAAAACAGTCGTGAAAGAGCCAATTTGCTTGAGACATGACCAAAAATAGGAAGTACGCTCAAGCATTCTTAGAAAGACTGAATGTATCCGTAGAAGTTCTATAAATTTGGAAATGAAGAGAAAAGCTATAGAAATAGAGAAACAACGAAGAAATCTGGAAATGGAACAGAAAGAAATAGAAAAAAGTTTACATTTGCTTCAGATAAAAGAAGAGTTACACAAAGCTGAGCTAGAAGAAAAACAAAATGGCAGTACTCGTGATAGCGTTCATCTTCAATCTGAAACATTTAGTTTGGCTTCGAGAGAAGAGTAAGTTAATGAACAAGAACACAGAGGTGCCATAGCCCAATAAGTAAAAAATATATCTATCCACCGACAGCAAACACTTGAAATGAAAGAAAGACTAGGAGAAAATGACAAGGAAAATACATCTAGAAATGACATTAAATTGTTTTATCAAACAATTACAAATATTCGCAAATCATTTTCGATTTTATTTCCAGTTGTTTTCAATAAAGACGGCAGTTTGGAGAAATTGATTCACGTTTTATCTGAAGTGAACAGTAATGAAAAGATTGTACAATAAACGTCACCTAGAAAATCCTCAACTGATAAGAGAGTTACCTCAAAAAGCTTGCCGATGAACTAGTTTCAGCCTAAACGAAGAAAATTGACGAAACTCCTCTACATCGAATAATAGGCATGTGGTGGGACACTGAAAATTAAAATTTTTCATTTAAATTTGAAAATTTACCGTTCTGAGATATTTGATGTCTGTTTTTGATCCGCTAGGTTTGATTTTCCCCTTCAGCGATAGATGAACGATTCTAATGCAGGATATAGGTATGGGGATCTGGAATCGACTGGGATGATGTTTTGTCACAGGACCTACAGATTTCCTGGAAAAAATGGACAAGAGAGTTTCTGAAATACAAATTTCCAGATGTTACAGCTACCTTATACCTTCAGCTATAGCTACCGAACTTCACAAATTTTACGACAGCAGTGAAAAGGCGTTTGCTGCAGCAGTATTTCTTCGAGTTGTTCGAATTCAAGTAACCGAAGTTTGCCTTATTTCGGCAAAACCTAGAATTTCTTCGTTGAAACCATTATCTATACCCAGGTTGGAACTTTAGGCAGCAGTCATGGCAAGTCGGCTTTCTCAGCTGATAAAAAAAGAACTGGAAATTCCTATCAATCGAACATTTTTTTGGTCCGAATCAACATGCGTTTGAATAGGATAAGAGGTGATGGAAAAAACTTCAAACCATTTGTAACCCTTTCAAATAGGAGAAATGCAAGAACGAACGGAAATTGAACATTAATACTGGATTCCAACTGAATATAATATTGCAAATGAAGCAACAAGATGGACGTTAGGAGAGAAAATAATTTCAGACCAATGGTTTTCTGGGCCTCACTTTCTCAGATAGTCTGAGGAACTTTGGCCGTGCCAAAAAGACAACATAAACATAAAATGTTTGTGTAAAGTGGATGTTGAATTGGAACAAAAAAAGTCTGGAAAATGTCTGTTCATTACGAACAATGAAAATTGTTCACTACTTGTAAAAAGATTCTCCAAGTGGGTAAGATTAATTCGTTCTACAGCTTGGTGCTTGACATTTATTTACATTCTCAAAAACAGAAAAAGGTTCGAATCCAATTTGACAAAAGAGGAGATATCTGATACTGAGAAAATTTGAGTACAGTGTGCACAACAATAGAGTGTCCCCTCAGAGACACGCTGCCTCAAGAATGGAAAACCTTTGAGTGGAAGTAGTAAGCTTGCCAGTCTATGTTCTAAACTAAAAGATGGAATCATGGTTCTCTCTGGCCAAACAAATGTGTCAAAATGGTTGTTAAGAGATGTTAGTCAACCAGCTATATGGAGTTCAAAGTACTATTTCACAAAATTGCTCATTCAGCATTATCATGAGAAATTTTCTCATAGAGAAATGGAACTGGTACTAAACGAACTCCAACAAAAATACTGGGTGATTCATGGCCAAGCAGCGGTTAGAACAACATTCTCCAGAAGTCCTAGATACAGAATTGAAAGAAGTAAACCACTACCGCCCATGATGAGACAAATACCAGAAGAACGATTAAAAATGAAAATAAGATCATTTGTCAATATAGGAGTAGACTACTTTGAACCAATTCTCGTGAAAATTGGTAAAAGAAGAGGGAAAAGATGGGAAGTTCTGTTCCACTACCTTGAAATAACCCATAGCCTCAACATCGACCCGACCATTCAAGCAGAATTGAGAATGGCTGCAAGAAGAGGACAACCTCATGTTATTTTCTGCGATCATGGGACGAATCTGAGAGGTGCAGCAAATATACATCAAGCCATAGAAGAAATGGACCCATCCAGTTTAATTGATTCTATGTCTGGAAGAGGAATCACTTACAAGTTTATCCCTTATTCTCCACCTCATATGGAAGGAGCTTGGGAGAAATTGATTGAAACAGTAAAAAGAACTATTGGCAAAGTTCTCCATGATCAGAGTCTTCGAGAGGAAACTCTGCAAACTTTTTTTGCCAAAACTGAAAAGATCGTCAACTCTCGACCTTGAAATGATATGAAAACAGCTAATCACGCGGAACACGACCAACTCCCGCCAAACGGTCAGCTCCCGCTAAAAACCAATGAAGCTGAGAGAGGGAAGAGGGGATAGGTGGAAGCAGTCGAATGACCTATAAATACTCAGATCTAGAGGGAATAAGTCCAGTTATCATCCGTCCAGATTTTTTCAGGGATTTCAAATCAATTGATATCATATTGGACAATGGAAGTCCGAACTGATGAAATGCACCACGAAACATTGTCAATTTCCTTCAAACAGAGGATGACAGTGTTCCATACAAGTGGAATTTTTCAATTTTCATTCAGTATACTGTGTACAAATCCTTCCTATGTTTGATGTATAAGTTTGAAAATGTCCTTATAGGACGAAACTGCAGTAACGTTAGTTACAAATAAAATACATTAAACTGTAATGTATAAGTTTGAAAATGTCCTTATAGGACGAAACTGCAGTAACGTTAGTTACAAATGAAAGTGATAAAAAGCATGGAAAGTTTCAATTCTACTTTCTTCGTTACGTTTCGAAAGAATTTTCCTTTCGTGTAATTCAATGTTTATAAGGAAGTAGCTGTTATAGGAGGGCTTTTTCTTTCAGTTTGTATCTGAAAGTAACTTCAGAAGGAGGAGAGTTTCATATTCTTGAAATCATTTGGAATAGCATTGTAAGTGGTCGATACATTATAGGAAAAACTTCTCTCAAACAATGATGATTTATGGATTAGTGGTGTTATAGTACCTTTCGATCTCATATTAAGATTGTGAACGTCAGTGCGAAACACAATCTTTCTATAAAGGTAGGAGGGTTTATGTTGGCAACATCATAAATAACTTCTACATAATTTTATATCTCTAGGAATTCAAAAAAATTATGACATTGATATATTTGATCTGACATGAGATGTCAGATATTACTGAAAACATTTATTCTGAATGTCTTCTAGATGTGTACGTCATGTTATTCATTGAAAATTAACCCTACTGACATATATTCACCATACTTATTGATTCTATATGAATGAATTCCAGAATACCGCACTTTTTCGGGAGTAAATCAGTAAGTTCTAGTTTAGAAATTTAGAACAGGTAGATTATGATGGCATCCCATTGATCTATTGCCAATTTTAACTTTTCTAAAGCTTTCGTATTGTTGTAGATCAAGTCCTAAAGAGAATAACGCCGGCCGCCACTGGTAGCCATGAACCAATTGTGACATGGCGAAGAGTGCGCTCAGCTAACCGACATTTCGCGGCTGTTCAAATCGATGGAGTTCCCGGCAAATATTCCACCGACTGCGATAGAAATTCGATGAATTTTCTACTTCCTTCGATGAAATAGTTGATCCCACTATAATTTTCAACTAGTTTGAGATACTTTACCATTAGTTGACATATCAAAACATGGTTTTATATGAATATTTACTATTTATCTTCCATTCTCGTGTCTTCCTTTCACCTAATTCCAAGCAATCGAGTAGTCGTTTGATGTGACATCCAAATCAATAATTACCTTTTGATCATCATGCTTACGACAAGATTTCAAATGGTAAAATTTCTGTTAATCTAACAAATTGCCATTGTCTTGTCTTCACCTATCGTAAAGCTATAAGCAGTCAATATAACTACCGAAAAATGTAGGCGTACTCAGGAAAGATGATTTTAAAATTAAGGATTTTGAATATCATTTCTGTCGACACACAGAATTACTCGACACCTGAGATCCCAGCGTTGTCAATTGAACTTGCAATGCAGCTTTCATGAAACCGTCAACTCAAAAAATTGCATCATGAATAAAAATTTTCAACTTGTTCTCTATACGCTTTCTCCTCAGGCACCAAAGATTATGATCCCGATTGAATTAAAAAAAAATGTTCGAAATATGTTTTTACTTTAACCAGCTGTCGCATCCCTACGAACGACAACCCTCAGAAGTCGAAACTTGTGCGAGCTAAGGACTACCGAGGTCTTACTTCTCAACGTGTGATTTCCAACTGTTAAAAAAAACTGACTCGATTTTTCGCAGACGACTAATTGTATTATATTGGATTGATTGTCTTAAATACCAATATGAGATGTTAGTATCAATATACATGTTTATAAGTCTTTTCATTTCATTGAAAGAATAATTGTTACATGATTTGTCCTTAATCTTTTTCGAAACATAACTCCTCAAAATATTTATAGCAGATTTCTTGTTTTTCGCCATTTTGATTTTTTAGTGTTAGTGGATAGTCTACCATCTGAGGCGATTCGCCATATTGGGTTCATAATGATTCCATATCATTGTTCATATTCTTTTCACCAAACTCTTTCATTTCATATGCTCATCATGAGTGTATATGAAATAACTAGTCCGACCTTTTGGCCGGTTCCTCATATTAGATTAGGAGTTGACGTTTTGTTATTTTACATTGTCAGTGAAATATAAGCTTTGGAATTGAAATGAAAAAAAATACTCTCTTTTTTCAGAACTACTAATACTTTATAATAACAATTCAATATAGGATCATAGTTCAATCTATCACGCCTCAAAATGTTGGTTACGCAAATGATTTATAAATAAATATCCTCCGGAAAATTTCAGTAGTTAAATATCATCACGTCAAGTTGAATCTACGTCAAATTATGGTCCCTGAGTTTTATTATCTGTTCACTATTTATATCTTGTTTTATATGCGATTTCTGGATATTAATAAACTTAGTTTTAACAATAACTCCTCAGTCGTCAGTGTGTATAAGTAACAAAAGAATTGCAACATGTGTTTTTAGATATAATATATAAAATGAAGTGACCTCCAAGATGAACTACTATGAAGGAACAATGAACTGACATCATTTTCATTGATATTAGAAGAATATGAAAATCAGTTGAAGTATGATCAATTCACTACTTTCATAGTATTTCTCATTCATAAACAGGCGTTTTCAATTCAATAAGAAAATCATTATACGTTTTTTGGTGACCGGAGTGATTTTAAAAACTGAATGGAAACATGGACCAGAACACACGATCTGATGGTGAGAATTGCGTTAAATTTTTGTGTATATGAAATGGAATTTGTCAACAAACAGTAAGACTTGAGTATCTGACACGAATAAGGATATGAAATTTCAATGTGAAGCAAGGTTCAAAATCACTTCAGCGTGTATGTCTGTTTCTGTTCAGAAAACAGGAACAGAAACACTGATATAGAATAAGATACTATGAATATTCCTTCATAACGACAGCTCATATCCTTTTTGCCATTTTTTTTTATGTGATACCCCTATTACTATTTCGGAAACGGTGGGTCCTACAAGAACGGTTGAAAAAAACAAAAGTTGCATGTTTGGGAATGCAAAATAATAGTTTTTTCAGATGAACGAAATTATAGTATTTCCAATACCAATTGGAACAGCACAGAGAAGGAATTCCCGGCTCGACATAGGCGTCGGCATATTATTTTTCAGTGGTAGTTTTTCAGTTACTTATTCTTACAATCATAGCAATTGATCATTCCATGAGAAAGTTATCTCAACTGAATTTTTCCACCTTGGGTAATTATTAAAAACTTCGAAATTTAAGGTAGTTTATTTCCGAGTCGAAAACTCTAAAATACAATGAAAACAAAAATAATCACACCGAATTCTCGTCAAACATTTATTTACAAAATAATAGAGACCAACAAAATTGCTAGAAAAATAAAAATTCTTCTTCGCAATATTCGGATGAGGTGGAATCATCATCGAGTTGAATAACGATAGGATTTATGGAACGTGGCACATAATATTTGTTATCTTCTTTTATTATAACGTGGGCCACACAGTTCTTCCACACATCACTTTTACCTACTTCATTCACCACTCGCCATATATTGTCAAGCACTACAGCATTCAAATTCGGTGACTGATTACATTTCCGCAAACCATTTTAATTGGATTGAACACACAATAGTATGGAGGTAAACGTAAGAGAATATGACCACATATTCCACACATCGAATCAATAATATACTCTTTTTTGAAATCACGTTGTTTCATGGTCGCCAGTAATACCTTTTTCGTTGGAATCTTTTCGGGTATTTCCATGTAATGATTTCGTCAATAAGCGAGAATGATACGAAGCGTTATCCATAACAATAACCGAGTTTGGAGGAATATTTGGGAGAAGCTGCTCACTGAACTAGGTTTCGAATAAAGCCGCAGTTATATATTCGTGGTGATCAGCAGGCGAATCTTTTATATTTTTGGACAGAAGCAAAGCGTTAGGTACGAAACCACTTTCATTCCCGGCATGCAAAATTATAACACGTTTTTCCCTTGAAGAAGGTGTGTTCAAAGCACAATACTTGGTTTCGTCTACCCAGCCATATTTGACAACATCATGGGTGTCAAACCAAGTTTCTCGAGGTAGATTATATGTCTGCTGGATTCTCGGTAGCTTTTCATTCACCTCAAATATTTTTGTTGGAGTTGAACAACGCGTGTGGATTCCATGACCATCCGATTGTTCAATTGTTTATATTTGAAACCACAAATAAGACACCTCGTAGAGTTTCGAAAGATTTGTAATTGTAATCGGGATAGTCGAGTAATTTATACCAAATCATTTTCAAGGTTGGTACTCAATTTTTTTGGTATATACCATAAATTGTTCGCCAAATCACATCTTTTGTAGCACCATTTTATTCCTTTGTTTTCATTTCATTGCACGGTCAATGGCATCCCTTATTTTAATGAATGAACTGTCGAACGAAATAATTTCGTTAACTAGCATATTCTATTCACAATAGCATTCTGTGAAGTGTGACAGTTTTCCTTCTTCAAGCATTCAAGCAAAATTACTCGCTGAATTCGAACATGTAAGTCTTTATTTCAAATTCAGATTCCTCACACATAATGTAATCATTTGTTTCAAAAGGTTTCCAGAAAGCCATATTGATGAAAGTACCCAAAAACACTAAGATTCTCACATCTAAAGACAAGGTTTAGCTGTTTATATACCTAAAGTTTTTAAGTTAGTTTGTTTGTTAAATGATGATTATTCGAATCGATTTTTCGATAATAAACTAGTGGAACCACTTCCTGCAAATTAATTTGTCCGCTTTTCAATCTATTGTTGACAAATTAACTTGCAGGTAGTGGTTCCACTAGTTAATTACCGGAAAATCAATTAGGATAATCATCATTTAACAAACAAAGTCCACATCGAATCAAAAAACTTTAGGTGTATAAACAGCTAACCCTTGTCTTTAGATTCAGTATCAATTTGCTTCTCCTGAAGATGCTAACCTTGTTAGCGAAACGCGCGTCGAGTGCAAAAGTATCAGTTTGGTGTTAGGGTAATTGATCTCTAGAAAAAGTTTTCAAAAATTGGTTTACAAAACCACTCACTACCTCACCTAACCCCACGAACACACGGCACTGATAAAGAAATATTGTGAAATGAACAAAAAATTAGTATTCAGCCAGTGCAGCTAGCCGAGCCTTTACTCCTCAACTACATTTGATAGCACGTTTACTAACTATCTGGGCGACTGGGGGCCACAGGCAAGAAATATTTATTACTGTACTCTTATTTTTATTGGCGTTCCAATTGGGAATGGATAGATTATACCAACCGTTCCTGAGATATTTGCAAAAACTGATTCTATTTTTTGCTCTACCCCCTACATTTTCAATAATATCAAAAATGACAGAAAACTTTTTGCTTTATTTTATGTTTTTCATAATCTGGTTCAACCCATTTTCTAATGCGACGTTTCGTTAATTGAATTCCATCATCAATATATTTTTCAACGGACTTGTATTTTTTTTATACATTTTGGTAATCATTGTAATCACAAATTCATTGACATATAGAAACATATATATTTTTCGACGTTTAACCTTTTTTTAAATGAGTAATCAAATTTCTAAATATCGTTGCAAGCACATAGTTAATAGTATCGTAATACCACATTGAAAAAAAATTGTGAAAGAGAATGTACCGAAATAATAAATCGTAAAAAATGAACATTATAACGGAATTCTTTTTAAGTTACCATCTCACGCGATATGGCATTGAATGTTCAAATTGTTCTCCATCATTTCTTGAACAAATATTTACTCTAGACATAGTATGCTTGTGACAGTTGTCTAACATCTGTGGAGTGAAAGCTATGCATCCTCTCCTGTTCGAATCTTTCAATACCTCAATATTTTTAAAATCTGTTCTGAATACCTTATCTATCACGAAGCCCCACAACGAAAAATCCAGAAGAGAAAGATCCAGTAAAAGTAGTGACCATTCAATAAGACCATTATTTCTCATCTATCTTCCTGGAATAGTTGTATTGAGAAAAACTCTGCACATTCTCCCGCGATGTGTTGGAACTCCGTGGTGTTGGAAATACTCATATTTTCTCATTAGGCTAAGTGGAAAATTTTCTGGAAACTCAATTAAAGTTCTTGACAA